GATATTATATATAGAAAATCCTAAAGACTCCACCAAACCAAACCAAACAAAACCCCAAAACCTGCTAGAACTAATAAATGAATTATAGTAAAAGATACAAAACCAGTATACCAAAATCTGTTACACTTCTTTTTTTTTTTAGGCTTATTTCCTTATTTTGAGAGAGTGGGCATGTGTGTGTGCATGAGCAGGAAAGGGGCAGAGAGAGAAGGAGAAAATCCCAAGCAGGCTCCACACTGTCAGTCCAGAGCCTAATGCAGAACTCAATCTCACAAACTGTGAGATCATGACCTGAGCCAAAATCAAGGTTGGACACTTAACCAATTCAGCCACCGAGTGCCCCCAAATCTGTTACACTTCTATACACTAATAATGAACTATCAGAAAGAAAAATTAAGACAGCATCTCTGTTTATAATGGCGTCAAAGAGAATAAAATACTTAGGAATAAATGTAACCAAGGAGGTGAAAGACCTGTACACTGAAAACTAGAAGACATTGATGAAAGAAATTGAAGAAGATATAAAATAAATGGAAAGATATTCTATGCTCATGGACTGGAAGAACAGTGTTAAAATGTACATACTAGCTAAAAAATTCGGTCCTCACCCTATCAAAATTTCATAGGGATTTTTCATAGAAATAGAACAATCCAAAAATTTGTATGGACTCCAAAGAGCCAAAGAAATCTTAAGAATGAAAAGCTAAAGCATTTTGCTCTGTGATTTAAAACTACATTACAAATACAGTATGGTATTGGCATAAGAACAGACACATAGGTCAATGGAACAGAATAGAGAGCCCACAAATAAGCCTACACATATATCATTAATTAACTGACAAAAGAGCCAACAAAATACAAGAGCAAAAGGACAGTCTCTTCAATTAGATACTGTTAAGCAGACTGGACAGCCATGTGCAAAAGAATAAAATGTACACCGTACACAAAAATTAACTCAAGAAGTATTAATAATTTAAGACCTGAAACCATAAAACTCCTAGAGGAAATCATAGTAAGCTTGTTGGCATGAGTCTTAGTGATGACTTTTTTAAATCTGACACTAAAAGCAAAGGCAACAAAGGCAAAAATACACAAATGGGACTATATCAAACTAAATATCTTCTGCACAGCAAAGAAAACCATCAAAAAAATGAAAAGGCAGCCCAAGTGTCCATCGATAGATGAATGGATAAAAGAGATGTGGTGTATGTTTACACAATGGAATACTATTCGGCCATAAAAAAGAATGAAGTCTTGTCATTTGCAGTAACAGGAAAGGAGCCAGAGAATGTATGCTAAGCAAAATAAATGAAGACAAATACCATATGTTTATACTCATGTGGAATTTAAGAAACAAAACGAACAAAGGGAAAAGAGAGAGAGACAAATCAAGGAACAGACTCTTTAATTATAGAGAACAAACTGATGGTTACCACAAGGGAGGTGAGTTGGGGGGTGGGTAAAAAGAAGATACGGATTCAGAGTATACTTATCATGATGAGCCCTGAGTAATGTACAGAATTATTGAATCACTATATTGTACACCTGCAAAATATAACACTGTATGTTAACTCTACTGGAATAAAAATAAATTTTTAAAAAGATTTGAATAAAAACCATGATCAAAAAAAAAAAAAAAGGCCACTTACTGAATGGTAGGAGATATTTTCAAATCATATATCTGGTAAGTTGTCAATACCCAAGATACATAAGGGAATTCAAACAACTCATTAGCAAAAAGCCAAATAACCCAATGTAAAAGTGGGCGAAGGACCTGAATAGATATTTTTCCAAAGGTGCTCAACATAATAGTTGTCAAGGAAATTCAAATCAAAACCACAGTGACATATCACTTTACACCTGTTAGAATGGCTGTGCTCAAAAAGAAAGAAACAAGTGCTGGCAATGATGTGGAGAAAAGGAAATCCTTGTACACTGTTGGTAGGAATGTAAATTGTGCAGGTGCTGTGGCAAACAACATAGAGGTTCCTAAAATATTAAAAATATAATTACCATATTATCCAATAATTACACTTCTGGCCACTTATCTGAAGAAAATGAAAGCACTAACTCAGAAATAAATATGCATCTCTACATTTATTGCAGCATTATTTACAATAGCCAAATTATGGAAGCAACCCAAGTGTCTATCGATGATGAATGGACAAAGAAGATTTAGTATATATATATATTCAATGGAATATTATTCAGCCATTAAAAAGACTGAAATCTTGTCATTTGCAATGATATGCTGGAGGTAGAGGGTATAATGCTAAGTGAAATAAGTCAATCAAAGAAAGATAAATACCATATGGTTACAGTCATGTGAAATTTAAGAAGCAAATGAACAGAGAGAGAGGGAGGGAGGGAGGGAGAGAAAGAAACAGTCTCTGAACTATAGAAAACTAAATGATGGTTACCAGAGGGAAGGTCAATGGTGGGGGGGAAGGTGAAATAGGTGATGGGGATTAAAGAGTGCACTTTTCATGATGGGCCCCAGGTGATGTACCAAATTGTTGGATCTATATACTGTACACCTGCAAATAATGTAACACTGTATGTTAACTGGAATTAAAATAAAAACTTAGGGGCACCTGAGTAGCTCAGTTGGTTAAGCATTCAACTCCTGATTTTGGCTCAGGTCATGATCTCACAATTTATGAGTTCAAGCCCCGAACTGGGCTCTGCACTAATAGTGCAAATCCTGCTTGGGATTCTCTCTTTCCCTCTTTCTCTGCTGCACCCCACCCCCACCCCTGGCTTGTGTGCACACTCTCTCAAAATAAATAAATAAACATTTAAAAAAAACAAAGTCATCATAAAAAAAATTTCCCACCAAAACCATAAAATACCCAGGAATAAACCTAACCAAAGTGGTGAAAAATCTATACATTGAAAACTCTAGAAAGCTCATGAAAGAAATTGAAAATGACACACAAAAAAATGGCAAAATAGTCCACACTCATGGATTGGAAGAATATTGTTAAAATGTCCATACTATCCAAAGCAATCTACATATTTAATGCAATCCATACCAAAATAACACCAGCATTCTTCACAGAGCTTTAAAAAAATCCTAAAATTTGTATGAAACCAGGAAAGACCCCAAAGAGCCAAAGCAATCTTGCAAAAGAAAATGAAGGCTGGAGGCATCACAATTCCGGAATTCAAGGTGTTTTACAAAGCTGTAATCATCAAGACAGTAAGGTACTGGCACAAATACAGACACAAAGATCAATGGAACAGAATAAAGAACCTAGGAAAGGACCCACAAACATATGGCCAACTAATATTTGACAAAGCAGGAAAGAATACCCAATGGAAAAAAGTCTCTTCAGCAAATGATGTCGGGAAAACTGAACAGTGACATGCAGAAGAATGAACCTGGACCAGTTTATTACACCATACACAAAAATAAACTCAAAATGGATGAAAGACCTAAATGTAAGAAAGGAAGCCAACAAAATCCTAGAGGAGAAAACAGGCAACAACCTCTGACCTTGGTCGCAGCAACTTCTTATGGGAAATGTTTCTGGAGGCAGCGGAAACAAAAACAAAAATGAACTATTAGGACCTCATCAAGATAAAAAGCTCCTGCACAGCAAAGGAAACAATTAGCAAAACTAAAAGGCATTCGATGGAATGGGAGAAGATATTTGCAAATGACATATCAGATAAAGGGTTAGTATCCAAAATCTATAACGAACTTACCAAACTCAACACCCAAAAAAGAAATAATCCACTGAAGAAATGGGCAAAAGACATGAATAGATACTTCACCAAAGAAGACATCCAGATGGCTAACAGACACCTAAAAAGATGCTCAACATCACTCCTCAGGGAAATACAAATCAAAACCACATTGAGATACCACTTCACACCTGTCAGAACGGCTAAAATTGACAAGTCAGGCAATGACAGATGTTGGCGGAGAAAGAGGATCTCTTTTGCACTGCTGGTGGGAATGCAAACTGGTGCACCTACTCTGGAAAATAGTATGGATGTTCCTCAGCAAATCAAAAATAGAACTAACCCATGACCCAGCTATTGCACTACTAGGTATTTTTTCCAAAGGATACAGGTGTGCTATTTCCAAGGGGCACGTGTACCCCAATGTTTATAGCACTGCTATCAACAATAGCCAAAGTATGGAAAGAGTCCAAATGTCCATCAACAGATTAGTGGATAAAGAAGATGTAGTATATAAACAATGGATTATTACTCAGCAATCAAAAAGAATGAAATCTTACCATTTGCAACAACATGGATGGAATTACAGTGTATTGTGCTATGCAAAATTATTGATAGACAATTATTATGACTTCACTCATACATGGAATTTAAGATACAAAACAGATGAACATAAGGGAAGGGAAGCAAAAATAATATAAAAATAGGGAGAGGCACAAAACACAAGAGATTCTTAAATATAGAGAACAAACTCAGGGTTGTTGGAGGGGTTGTGGGTAGGGAGATAGGCTAAAGAGCCTTAAGGAGGACACTCGTTGGGATGAATCACTGGATTCTACTCCTGAAGTCAGGAGTAGTATGGCACTGTATGCTAACTAATATGGATGTAAATGAAAAGGTAAATAAAATTTTTTCCTATGTGTGATGACAAATGTTAACTAGACTTATGTGATCATTTCACAATGTATACAAATATCAAATCATATTATACACCTGAAACTGTTATATGGCGGTTATATTCAGTTAAAAAAAAGAAAGAAAGAAATTACAGTAGAGGGTGAGAAGTGACCCAGGTTTGTCATTTATTTGCCTTGTTTGGCCACTTGGGATTTAAGTTGAGCCCAGAATGGGCTCCTTCAAGGAGAAATTTACCTTTTAATTAATCTATGAACTTAGAGGCATTTCTTTGAAAAACTAATTGAATGATGTATTTTGGAATCATTTCTATAAAAACACATGTTCCTTTTTTTGAATTGCACATTGTTATTCTTTAAGAAAAACTAACACCCATTATTTTTCCTCTCTTTTAGTACCATCATCTGCGTTATAATGGACTGTGATATAAAAACAAGAACAAATTTTCAGATGGTTCTCAAAGGCAAAGGATACTTCTTTCATTGCATCATCTTTTCACCAGATTGAAAAAAAGCACTGAAACAAATTAGTGAAAGAATTGATAGCTAGTTATCTTTACCATCCTTCTTTACTCAAGGATTTCAGAACTAAAATGTTCCCACAATATGATGTGTTGATTTTCGGTATGCAAATTGACTGAATCACATAGATTTTTCTCAGCCAGTAACTGCACAATTAAGCAAATCACATCTTCCAAAGTATGGATTGCTCCAATCAGAAAAAAAGACTATCATTGGTTGTTGAGCTTTAGAGAGAACTTAAACTATACTGTGTAAACAGTACCTTACATTTCTAAAATCCCAAATGTAAGAAAAATATGCAGACATACAGATATATAGGCCAACTCTTAGTAATGATATGAAATATACTTAAAGAGCTTTTAAAACTTTGTATTTTTGTATAAAATATTTGCCTTTTTACAATTTTTTCCTTTTCTTCCTTTTTTTTTTTTTGTCATCTTACCAATATAATACATGGAGCCAAAGAAAACAATAATGGTACTAATAAAAAAAAACTCCTAGGGTTTCTTGTCAGACTTAATTCTACCCATTGGCAAAGAATTTTTTTTCAGTTGTGGTTTTAAAAAAATAATATGTGTGTGTGTGTATATATATATATATATATATTTTTTTTTTTTTTTTTAATGTATCATTTCCTCAGAGGAGTCAATCACTTGAAATGTCTACAGATATCCTTGCAGGTTTTGCCAGGGTAGGTCAAGCCTGAGCATATACATGGCTCAGTCAAGTGGGCTGTGTTTTGAGCCCATCACCAGCCAACATTCTTACTGTGTGCCTGGCCAGGCCCAGAGAAAGTGGTCAACTCAGGATGTACTTCTACTTCATTTTGGTGGAGTTAGGGGTGGTGGAGAGGTATCTGTTGGGAAAGAATCTGGCTACCTAAAAAGTCCTGTTTTATGGCTGAGGTATGAATGTGCTTTGTATCAGACCCATAGCAGAGCTGCTAGTGACAGTCAGGAAAGTATGGCCTCACATCAACCAAGGCAGAGATGCAAGAACAATGGGGACAGGTATATGCTACCTGGAGAGTTTGTGTTTTCTTAAGTCAGGTTCCAAAAAACATAACTCCAAGGTACATGCATGATGAAATGCAAGAATCAACTTTTGGCCACTACATTGAACCGTTGCAAAGAACGTTTCCTCTGAGCCCGTCCACCTTCTACTCCTTGACTTGCCATCAAAAAGTCTAACATGAAATGTGCTAAAACTAGGCTTTAGATTAAATTAATGCTCAAAGGTAAGATTTCAATAGATTCCTTCTCCTCCCCTTTCAAGGAGCTCCCCAAGCAGTGCTGCTACCTATCCCAAATAAAAGGGTAAAAGAATAAAGACAGAGTTGACTTTCACACCTGCAGCCATGTGGACTATGTTGTCTTACCCCCTGGTCACCATTCATGCCATCTCTGCAGCCAAAAATGGCCATCTCCTCGCACCTTTATGCCCTGCTGTCCTGTCCATATGGCCTGGTCAGGTTGGTAGGACTCACTGTCATGTGGACCCTATGACACAAGGCAAGCACTGGACTCCAGTAATTTCTCAGGTCAAGACTTTCCATAGATTAAACCCAATCCCTCAAGACCTTTTATAAACTAAATCCAATCCACTTTCTCATCCTCTTCCTGTTTTTTAAGTGTCAATTCAGATTCATGCTCAGAAGCAATTTAAATGTGTGATGCCATCATCAGAAGGGAGTAGTGCTAGTTCCCACAGCTGAGGCGGTTCTCTCCAGCCCTCCTCATAACTTACAGTGCTGTCATTTGTCAGGTACTATAAGAAGTGCTTCAGTCAGACCATCTCATGTCATCCTCCCAACAGCCCCATCGAGCAGGCCTTGCTACCCTCTCCATTGACAGAAAAGGGGAGGGTCTCAAGGAGGTAGCATCACTTCCTAGGTCCCACCCTCACCAAGGAGTGAGACAGGATTCTGACTTGAGCTCTGAAAGTCCTAATGCTCTTTAGGAACCAGGGTCCTTCTTAATAACACACTGAATAAAGTCAGATGAATATCACACATAATAAGATGCTTTATGTATTTCTCTGTACATTTAGTTCTTTATACACCAGATTTCTGTTCACCTACTTCCAACTGATGCTCTTTTGGGAGGAGAATATTAACGAGATATGATGAAGTCTATTCAGGCATCTAACCTGATACACACTAGGAGTAGAAGGAGAACAATATTCTTTCTTTTTTTTAAGTGTATTTATTTTGAGAGAGAATGCACACGTGGTGGGGAGGAGCAGAGACAGCAGGAGAGAGAATCCCAAGCAGATTCTCCACACTATCAGCACAGAGCTTGATGTGGGGCTCGAACTCAAGAACCGTGAGATCATGACCTGAGCTGAAATCAAGAGCTGGACACAACCAACTGAGCCACCCAGGTACCCCACATTTTTCTTTCTAAATGGTTCTTGAAAGGATGAATGCACAACCAGGAGGGGAAAAAAACTATTTTCCTCTTCTATTATCAATGTTCATCATTTCCCCTCTGCCCTTCCAATTTGTAGGAGTTAAAATGTAAGCTAAAGCAGAGAAAAAATGATAATGGCCACTCCAATTTTAAAAGTCAGATGTTTAAGGAAGTAGAAAGCTTTATAAGTGAGGTAACAATGCCAAACTTGTTTTTTTGCCTCAGATGACAAAGCTGGTCTTGAGAAAGTAAGCACATTAACTCATTCATGACTCAAAGAAGTCACACAAGAATAATAGTTTAAATGTTTAGCATTTTCACATAATCTCCTCTAATCATCATGCAAAATCTACTGTCCCTACTTTAGAAATAAGGAAAACTGAGGATAATTGGAAGACTTGCCTCTAGTCCACACTGCTGTCACAGTTGCCTTCAAAAATGCAAACCTGATCAGTTTCCTCATTCTTAATTCAAAACCCAACTCTATCCTACCCCATATCCCTAGCCTAAAATCTTCCAAAGGATCCCAGTTTCCCAACGACACCTCCAGCCTTTTCCCCCAGCTGCAACCCCACCCTCCATCACCCATGCACCTAAACAGCCTTCTAAGCCACCTGCACCTTCCCCCATGCTTTCTCAACCCCATTGTCTACCTGGATACCTTCCCTGTCTTTTATACATGGAGAGTACCCTCTTTAAGTTTCAGCCCAAGCATCACTTCTTGTCTGAATCCTTTCCTGATAAATGCACTGTGACAGTAGAGCTGATTCCTCTTTCCATGCCAAATACTGTGCACAAGCGATCTGAATGAAACAGAAGAAAACTCCTTCACTGTGTTAGATGATCTACAAATTAGTTGAGACCTAAAAGTTATTGAATTGAGAAGAGAGAAAGGTGAATGTGGCCAGTCAGTTATGAAATCTTGAAAGAACTTAAGTGGGAGAAGCCACACAAGAGAAATGAAGGGATTCATGTTGCTAATAGTTGGTTATTGTACATCCAGTATATTGGATGTATGCATATTATGTATGTATCAGTCCATCAGTGTAAATGGAAGATAGAGTGAAAAGAATCTGATGATAAAACAGATTCATTCTATTACCAAAGTATGGCCCTGAGTCAGGGAAAAGCTTTAGAAACCTTTTCTAAATGGTGGTGTGATGGAGTATCTCTTTTCTTACTATTATACTCAACAATTTTACAAGTACAGGTTGACTTTTCAGGCTTTTTGAGGTGTTACTGTGTACAACAGTTCCATTTTCCTGGGAAGAATCCCTTAATGGCATGGTGTCATGTTTATTTTATAACTCACAAAGCAAGTGTTGAAAAGATTCTGCTTGGGGGCAAGATGGCGAAGAAGTAGGGAGCTCCATACATTTCACTCACCCCCATCTCTCAAACGGAGAAGGCCTGAAGCCATAGGAACCCTTACAGAATCCAGGAGTTTGGGAGGAAAAGGAGACAGAGTCTGCTAAGAAAACCTTATAGCGTGAGTGTGAACTGGGGAAGATAAAAATGGGCCAGGACCAGAGACACAGAGGGAGAGAAAGGAGCCCCCTTTGTGGGGAGCCATAGTGAGTCAAGGGGAAAAGAAAAAGCAGCTGAAACTGCTCAAGAAACTGTCTCTGGAGAAGAGAAAAACCTTGGCTCAGGACACAGAGGGATCCGATTTCCAGTTGTCCAGCTGACCTTGAGCGGAACGCACTGGTCCCAGGTGACCCCAGGAGAAACCACTCCTCTGCTCACCAGCTCAACCTGGAGGGTAAGTGGCACACCTGAAGCCACTCCACCGCTGTTCTGGCTCGGCTCCAGCTTGAAACTACTCAGAGGGACTCGGCCAGTGGGTTTATATTTCGGGCGGTATCAATAGGGCGCAAGGATTAAGGTCTGGAAACGAGGCGTGACTTGGGACATGGAGCACACTTGTAGCACAGGGAGATCAGACACAAAAGAGGCTATCTCAAGAAACAAGCCAAAGTACACATGGTGGAGAGTCCTACATATGAGTACGGAAATGAAATAACCAAAGTCTCAACAGGAGAGACTAAGAGACACCATTCAAAGAACATTTCCTGAATGGACAGGCCCTGGACAGTCAAAGAGCCCTCTTTAATACAGCAGTACTCTCAGGTGCAGAGTGTATAACAAGCTTTTAAAATTAACAAGAGATAGAAAGCTATCCAAAATTATGAAATTGAAGAACTCTCCTCTTAAGAAATTCCAGGAAGAAATGACAGCTAAAGAACTGCTCAAAACAGATATAAGCAACATAACTGAATAAGAATTTAGAATAGTCATAAGATTATTCGCTGGGCTTGAAAAAGGCATAGAAGACATCAGAGAAACTATTGCTATAAAGACTATGGAGCTTAAAAATAGTTGTGATGGATTAAAAAATGCTATAAATGATACGCATAATAAAAAGGAGGCATCCAATGCATGGACTGAAGAGGCAGAAAGGAGAATAGGTGAATTAGAAGACACAATTATAGAAAAAGAGGAAGCTGAGAAAAAGAGAGATAAACTGATCCAGGGACATGAAAGGAGACTTCAAGATCTGAGTGACACAATCAAACAGAACAATATCCATATCATAGGAATCCCAGAAGAGGAAGAGAGAGGGAAAGACACTGAAGGAATCCTTGAACAAATTACAGCAGAGAACTTCCCCAGTGTAGGGAAGGAAACAGACATTGAAATTCAAGAGGCACAGAGAACTCCCCTCAGACGTAACTTGAATCGATCTTCTGCAGGACATACCATAGTGAACCTGGCAAGAGAGAATTTTGAAAGCAACTAGGGAGAAAAAGGCCCTAATATACAAAGGGAAACCTATCAGAGTGTTGACAGACCTATCTAATGAAACTTGGCAGGCCAGAAAGGAATGGTAGGTAATCTTCAATGTGATGAACAGAAAAAATATGCAGCCAAGAATCCTCTGGCAAGCCTGTCATTGAGAATAGGAAAGATAAAAAGTCTTCCCAAATAAGCATGAATCCGACAAAAAAACACAGTGACTCTAAACCCATATTTTTCAATAATAACACTGAATGTAAATGGACTAACTGCTCAAATCAAAAGACATAGGATAGCAGAATGGATAAAAAGACAAAATCCATCTATTTGCTGTCTACAAGAGACTCATTTTAGACCTGAGGACACCTTCAGATTGAAAGTAAGGGGGTGGAGAAATATATATCATGCTACTGAAAGTCAAAAGAAAGCTGGAGTAGCTATGCTTATATCAGACAAATTGGACTTTAAAGTAAGGGCAGTAACAAGGGATGAAGAAGGGCATTATAGAATAATTACAGGGTCTATCCATCAGTAAGAGCTAACAATTATAAATGTCTTTGCACCAAATACAGGAGTACCTAAGTACATCAAACAATCATAAACAGAAACAATCTCATGGACAAGAATGTGCAAATATCAGGGGAGTTTAATACTCCACTTACAGCAATGGATAGATCAACTAAACAGAAAATCACTAAAGACACAATGGACTTGAATGACACATTGGACCAGATGGATTTGACAGATATATTTAGAACTCTACATCCTGAGGCCATGGAATTCACTTTCTTCTCAAGAACGCATGGCACATTCTCCAAGATATCACATACTGGGACATAAAGCAGCCCTCAATAAATATAAAAGAATTGAGATCATACCATTCACACTTTCAGATCACAATGCTATGAAACTTGAATTCAACCACAGGAAGAAGTCTGGAAAACCTCCAAAAACATGGAGGTTAAAGAAAACCCTACTAAAGAACGATTGGACCAATCAGGCAAGTATAGAAGCAATTTTTAAAAATATGGAAACAAATCAAAATGAAAATACAACAATCCAAACTCTATGGGATGCGGCAAAGGCAGTCCTAAGAGGAAAGTACATTGCACTCGGGGCCTATTTCAAGATATTAGAAA